TTGCGGCTTTTTATCAGCTTGTAGGATGGACTCTCCCTTTATTCTCGTCTAGTAAAATTTTTTGAATAGATTCTTTTTATGAATAAGAAAATTCACTATCGTTAGAATAGCTTCCATCGAGTCTCTGCACCTTTCCTATATTGTTTTCTATATTTTTAGGATTTGGCTCAGGGTTACCTTGTTATGGATCATCCTAGGTTTCTCTGAATCTGAAAGCTTTCACTTATTAAGTTTCCTTAGTAAGGCTCAATTATTTGTTAAGTCCGTTGCGTCTACCAATTCCGCCATGCCCCCATAGTTTCTTGGTATCTTATTATATGAGGTTTTTTATACAAATTACAAGTGATATGTTTAGAAACATAGAAGTGATCAAATTTGTCTATTTGCTCCTACCATTTCCCTAGGAAAAAAATGGTGTTTAGTCAATATTCAACCAGATTGAATCAATCTAGAAAAAAACTTGAAACTTGTCTTAGTAGATAGAACTCATAACATTCAAGTTCCTAAAGGAAATATCAGGAATGTCATTTGTATTTTGATAGAAGATAATTGCGAATTCTATTATTTTGTGTATAATTAGTTTGTTCATTATGTAAATATATGAATTGTCAAATAATTGGTAATACTATACCATATATTCATATATATTCTATTTCTAAAGCCTGCTTAGCTCAGAGGCCAGAGCGTCGCACTTGTAATGCGATGGTCATCGGTTCGACTCCGATAGCAGGCTCACTAAGAGCTTAAATTTTCATTGATTTCTACAAGAAAATTGATTTTTATTTAAAAAAACTTACGCAAGATCTTATTCTATGAAATAGAATAAGATTTTTTTGTAGTATTTTGTTTTCTAAACAATCCCTCATAAATTTCTTGCATATCTATTGATTTAATTAATGAAAAGATATTCTTTTTTGATGAAATGAAAACATTTTCATATTTTTTGAAATGAAATTATATGGTACTATTGACTAGAAACCAAAAATTTTCTTACTTTTTTTTCTGATGGATTCAAAGTAAGAAAATAGATTTAACAAATAACAAAGATGAGATTCAGCAAAACAATCTTATTTGTTTTATATTCATCAAATTTTTTATAAAAAAAGGAGAAATTATGTCTCGTTATCGAGGACCTCGTGTCAAAATTGTACGTCGTCTTGAAACACCATTACCAGGTTTAACTTCTTACTCAGTACTTAATACTACACGTGCCAATACCCAATCTGCACGTAAAGATAAATCTGAATATCGTATTCGTTTAGAAGAAAAACAAAAGTTACGTTTTCATTATGGTATTACAGAACGTCAATTACTAAGATATGTTCGTATTGCTAGAAGAGCCAAAGGGTCAACAGGTCAAGTTCTTTTACAATTATTAGAAATGCGTTTAGATAATACTGTTTTTCGTTTAGGTATGGCGCCTACAATACCTGCAGCTAGACAACTTGTGAATCATGGACATGTAATGGTTAATGATCGTGTAGTCGATATAGCTAGTTATCGTTGTAAACCTCAAGATGTAATTGTAATTCCAGATCGAGTTAGATCTCGAGTTTTAGTAGAAAAAAATTTAAGTAATTTTAAACAATCAAAATTACCTAGTCATTTACGATTTAATCCTAAAACTTATAAAGCATCAGTAAATCAACTAGTGAATCGCAAATCTGTTGGAATAAAAGTCAATGAACTTTTAGTCGTAGAGTATTACTCACGTCAAGCTTAATATTAATATCTTCACACTATTTCTCCTCTTTTTTCTCTTTTTTTTTTCAAAATCCCTCTTTTATGAGATTCATTCTCTATGTAAGGAAAAAGTCTTGAATGCCATTCATTGTTTTTTAATCAATGGTTCAATGAAACAGTATTTGAATCTTTTTCTTTTTTCAAATTAAGCCTACCTCTTACTAACTTTGCCATATATTTATCTAGATCTTTTTGAAGATACATCTTTGTTTTTTTTCAAAGAAGATAATTAGATTAAGTGTTTTTTGAAAAAAAACAAAGATGTTCTATCTCCTTCTAGTGAAAGCGGAAAGAGAGGGATTCGAACCCTCGGTAGACAAAAGCCTACATAGCATTTCCAGTGCTACGCCTTCGACCACTCGGCCATCTTTCCTTGTCGTTAAGGTAGTCTATATTAGGAATTGTGTCATAGCAACCCTTAGAATTTTTTTTTTTATAAAATTTGGAAAAGAATATGTTCATGTATGAATTGAATTAGTCACAGTCGTTTATGTATACATTACTATACTATGATTTTACATATTTTTATTCAATATATTATAGGCGATAGTTTTTAATACAATTTATATTAAGAAGAATAATTTCAAGGATTTTTTATTTGATTTTTTTCTCATAAAACAGAGATTCTACTTATACTAGTAGTCCTCTTCATTATTTAGAATTTTTAGGTACAATTTTTTAGTAGGCAATATATATATATATATATATTATATATTGTATATTGTATATTGTATATTCTATATTGTATATTCTATATTGTATATTCTATATTGTATATTCTATATTGTCTATTGTCTTTTATAAATTAAATGGATTCATAAATATACTTTTTTGTTGTATATTTTTATCAATTAAAAATATCTTATAAATTTATTTAATTGATAAAAAATTTTTTGTAATGTATATGATTTGAAAAATTTTGAATTGAATATATTTTTTTATAATATATTAAAAGATTTCTCATCAAATTCCCTTTTTAAACAAAAAATAGTTATCAATATTTATTATATATAAATCAAAATGCCAAGATCGCAACGGAATGACAATTTTATTGATAAAACATTTACAATTGTAGCAGATTTATTATTGAGAATCATTCCTACTACACAAAGAGAAAAAGAAGCTTTTACTTATTATCGAGATGGTGCGATTTGTTATTTAGTATATTATATTGTATACTAATACACAGTTAATAAATAAAAATTGTGAAATTCTTACTGAGTGAGAGTAAACCTAAGTGTAAGACTCTCCGCTATGTATCCATAAGTTGACACAGTCCTCTATGGGGATTCTTTTCTAACATAAAGCAAAGAGGATAATTCTATTATAGAGTGCATTACATATTTATCTTTCAATAAATATTATCTACGCATAAATATCTGATATTGAAATGATGTTATCTATAATAGATATGTACATTTGGTAACAAGCTACGTAGAGAAACTGACAAGAAAAAGTTTTCGTAATAGTTGATATATAGACTTGATTATTTAATTATTCACAACTAAGCATATATGGTTAGGAAAATAGGATCCATCTCATCTATTTTTTGGATATCCATAAAACCATCGGAAAATGTCAGGGCATGTTATCATAAAACAAAGTGTTGAAAACAAACAAATAGACATTCAATTGTTACTGAAATTCAACTTATATCCGTAACTGATTCTGTCTAGAAGGATGGCTAGAGATGTCTATGTACAAGCACTAGCCCCTGTTAGTAATATTTACTGAAGAATAATAACTCATATTCTTCACATGGTAAGCTAGCTAGGAGAAGCCGTATGAGAAGTGGATCTCATGTACGGTTTTGAAACGGAGCCTTTTTTATTATAGGCGATCGTAACGAATGTCAGCTCAATCAGAAGGTGAATATGCAGAAGCTTTGTTAAATTATTATGAAGCTATGCGTTTGGAAATTGATCCTTATGACCGTAGTTATATATTATATAATATAGGTTTAATTCATACCAGTAATGGAGAGCATGCTAAAGCTTTAGAATATTATTTTCAAGCACTTGAAAGAAATCCATCTTTACCTCAAGCTTTGAACAATATGGCTGTGATCTGTCATTACGTGCGACTACTTAATTTGTAATATTTGAGAATTCTTTTCTCGTTTTTTCTTGCTATAAAAAAAATGGATAACATGTATATCATTTTTGATGTATAAGAGCTGTTATCTAAACCCTATTTTTTCTATAGTCCAATAGTCCAAATGGGAGACTAGTTGTCTCTATGGATAAACTAAATGAATTAGTAAGTTAAGCGTCATAAAGATCTTATATCGAAAATGGACCTGAAACGATATAAATGTTTTTTCTGCTTATTTTCTTTTTACTGTAATAAAAAAGATTTTCTATAAAGCAGTGGCGTAGAGCTAAATCCTAAAGAGAAATCTTTATCTTATGTATAGAATATTTTTCTATAAAAAAAGAATTTTTACATAAATAGAGTAGTTACTTATCAATAAAATAATATCGTATATGTTGATGAGTAGGAAGCTAGATATTTTGATTCTAATGATTTGATGATAATTATTATTATTAAAAGAAAACTTATGTTTTAAATACTTTATTCTAAGTAATAGAATATGTTTTTATATAAGCATGCAACATGTTATATATGCAAGTATGATTCTATTAGTAATTTTCTGCTTAGAATAAAACTAATTCCATATTTGAGCCGTATGAAACAGGAAACTTTCAAGTACGGTTCTCAAGGGGGGGCTACCTTTGTCCCTATCCTGCCCGAGGAGAACAAGCCATTGAACAAGGTGATTCTGAAACATCTGAAGCTTGGTTTGATCAAGCTGCTAATTATTGGAAACAAGCTATTGCTTTAGCGCCTAACAATTATATTGAAGCACAGAATTGGCTTAAAATTACTGGACGTTTAAAAGATTAGATTTTTGCTTTTCTTCAAATAAAGACACTTTTAATGAAAAAATAGATATATACTAATAAATAGTTTTATACTATAAATATCTTATGGCAAAAAAAACTAACATGTTTTTTTCTACAAGATGTTTCTTTTTACATTAGACAAAGAATGTCCTTGAGAAACCTCAAGGACACTCTTTATGTTCCTCATCATATATTCCTTCATTGTTATATAGATTTCTCCAGAAATTCATTCCATATGTTTTTTTTAGAGACATTGATAATTCAAGAGCTTTTGTTATCTTTTTTATTAATTTAGCTTATATAATCTAACTGTGGAATAATCTTTAGGAAGTATAGAATTATAAAGAGTTCCATACTTCCCAAAGATTATTCCACAGTTAGCAACTTTGTGTCAAATAGAAAATACTATAGAGTATCCATAGTATCAAATTCGAATTTGATTTCTTTCCATACTTCACAAGCAGCAGCTAATTCAGGACTCCATCTAGCAGCTTCACGAATTACTTCGTTACCTTCGCGAGCAAGATCACGACCTTCGTTACGTGCTTGCACACATGCTTCTAGAGCAACACGGTTAGCTACAGCTCCAGGAGCGTTACCCCATGGGTGACCTAAAGTACCACCACCAAATTGAAGTACAGAATCGTCTCCAAAGATTTCAGTCAAAGCAGGCATATGCCATACGTGAATCCCACCAGAAGCTACTGGTAGAACCCCAGGAAGAGCTACCCAGTCTTGAGTAAAGTAAATACCACGGCTACGATCTTTTTCAGTGTAGTCATCACGAAGAAGATCTACGAATCCAAGGGTTACTTGACGTTCACCTTCTAGTTTACCAACTACAGTACCAGAGTGGATATGGTCACCACCAGATAGACGTAGAGCTTTCGCTAATACACGGAAGTGAATACCGTGGTTCTTTTGTCTATCAATAACTGCGTGCATAGCACGGTGAATGTGTAGAAGAAGACCATGATCGCGGCAATAATGAGCTAAACTGGTGTTAGCAGTGAAACCACCGGTTAGGTAGTCATGCATAATAATTGGTACACCCAAATCATAAGCATAAGCTGCTCTCTTCATCATTTCTTCACAAGTACCTGCAGTAGCATTTAGGTAATGCCCTTTGATCTCGCCAGTTTCAGCTTGAGCTTTGAAGATTGCTTCAGCTACAAACAAGAATCTGTCTCTCCAGCGCATGAAAGGTTGGGAAGTTACGTTTTCATCATCTTTGGTGAAATCCAATCCACCACGTAAACATTCATATACAGCTCTACCATAGTTTTTAGCAGATAAACCTAGTTTAGGCTTAATAGTACAACCTAATAGAGGACGACCGTACTTATTTAGTTTGTCTCTTTCTACTTGAATACCATGAGGAGGGCCTTGGAAAGTTTTTACGTATGCAGCTGGAATACGTAAATCTTCTAGACGCAAAGCTCTAAGAGCTTTAAATCCGAATACGTTACCTACGATGGAAGTAAATAGGTTAGTAACAGAGCCTTCTTCGAATAGATCTAAAGGATATGCTACGTATGCGATGTACTGGTTTTCTTCTCCAGGTACAGGTTCGATATCATAGCAACGACCTTTGTAACGATCTAGGCTAGTAAGACCATCAGTCCAAACAGTAGTCCATGTTCCGGTGGAAGATTCAGCTGCTACCGCTGCACCAGCTTCTTCTGGAGGAACTCCTGGCTGAGGAGTCATACGGAATGCAGCTAAAACGTCGGTTTCTTTGGTTTCATAATCAGGAGTATAGTAAGTTAAACGATAGTCTTTTACCCCTGCTTTAAAGCCAGCACCAGCTTTAGTCTCTGTTTGTGGTGACATAAGTCTCTCCCTACAAGTCAATTAATAACTATTGGAAGCACAAGGTCTGCTCGAAATATATAGAATACCATGTGAACAATGTAACATAAAAGTGAGAAGATTGCAACACATTTTACCTTATTTGTTCAGTACAACTTCATTCTACATTGTGGTAGCTGATTTATACAACATTTTTCTGATAAGCTTTGCTATATCATTTAGAAGATACTGAAAAGACTTTATACCATTACTTGACTAAAGTAGTACATCATGATACGTTTTAAGTAAAGATTGAATTGTTCTTTTACTATATAATTTGTCTATAAAGAACAAAAATCTTATTTATTAATCGATTGAATTGATGCAAGATGCCTAATCATCAGTTAAAATACAAACAATTTCGCCAAAAGGCTTCCCATGAATATTACCTATCTCGCACTTGGAGTGTCAGTAGCTACTACCAAGAACATAGGACGTATTACCCAAATTATCGGTCCTGTTCTAGATGCAGCATTTGCTCCTGGTCAAATGCCTAATATTTATAATGCTTTGGTAGTGAAAGGACAAAATCCAGCAGGTCAAGAAATTAATATAACTTGCGAAGTACAACAACTTCTAGGGGATAATAGAGTTAGAGCTGTAGCGATGAGTGCTACTGATGGTCTAATGAGAGGAATGGAAGTAATTGATACTGGAGCTCCTTTAAGCGTACCTGTTGGAGAAGTAACCTTAGGTAGAATTTTTAACGTACTTGGTGAACCAGTAGATGAACTTGGTCCAGTTAATGTAACTACTACATTTCCAATTCATAGATCTGCTCCAGCATTTACTCAATTAGATACAAAACTTTCTATTTTTGAAACTGGTATTAAAGTTGTAGATTTATTAGCTCCATATCGTCGAGGAGGAAAAATTGGACTATTTGGAGGTGCTGGTGTAGGCAAAACAGTATTGATCATGGAATTGATCAATAATATTGCTAAAGCACATGGTGGCGTTTCCGTTTTTGGTGGAGTAGGTGAACGTACTCGTGAAGGAAATGACCTGTACATGGAAATGAAAGAATCCAAAGTTATTAATGAAGAAAATATTTCTGAATCTAAAGTAGCTTTGGTATATGGTCAAATGAATGAACCTCCTGGAGCTAGAATGCGCGTAGGTTTAACTGCGTTAACCATGGCTGAATACTTCAGAGATATTAACAAACAAGACGTTTTATTGTTCATTGATAACATTTTCCGTTTTGTACAAGCAGGTTCTGAAGTATCTGCTTTGCTAGGACGTATGCCTTCTGCAGTAGGATATCAGCCAACTCTTGCTACAGAAATGGGAGGTTTACAAGAGAGAATTACTTCTACTAAAGAAGGATCTATTACTTCTATTCAAGCTGTTTATGTACCTGCAGACGATTTAACTGACCCTGCTCCAGCTACTACCTTTGCTCACTTAGATGCTACTACTGTACTTTCTCGTGGTTTAGCAGCAAAAGGTATTTATCCTGCTGTTGATCCTTTGGATTCTACTTCTACTATGTTACAACCATGGATTGTAGGTGCAGAACATTACGAAACTGCTCAAGGTGTTAAGAGAACATTACAACGTTACAAAGAATTACAAGATATTATTGCAATTCTTGGATTAGATGAACTATCTGAAGAAGATCGTTTAGTTGTAGCAAGAGCTCGTAAAGTTGAACGTTTCTTGTCTCAACCATTCTTTGTTGCGGAAGTATTCACAGGATCTCCAGGAAAATATGTCAGTTTAGCAGAAACTATTAAAGGTTTTCAAATGATTCTGTCTGGAGAGTTAGACCATCTTCCAGAACAAGCCTTCTATCTGGTTGGTAATATTGACGAAGCTACTGCCAAAGCTGCAACCATACAAGTGGAGAGTGCATAAAAATTATGACATTAAATCTTCGTGTGATGGCCCCCAATCGTATTGTTTGGAATTCTGAAGCTCAAGAGATTATTTTATCAACTAATAGTGGTCAAATTGGTATTTTGCCAAATCACGCTCCCTTGTTAACTGCATTAGACATTGGCATTATGAAAATACGCATCAATAGTCAATGGTCAACAATGGCTTTGATGGGGGGGTTTGCCATGATTGAAAATAATCAATTGACTATTTTGGTTAACGAAGCAGAAAAAGCTAGTGATATTGATCGTGAAGAAGCTCAAAAAAGTTTTGAATTGACTCAAGAAAACTTAAATCAAGCAACAGGTCGTAAACAGACCATCGAAGCTAATTTAGCTTTTCAAAGAGCAAAGGCAAGATTAGAAGCTGTTAATGCAAATCCTGCTTCAGCTTATAATTAATTCCGTATGTCAAAATTTCATTGATTCATACCTTGGTGAATTTTGAATTCACCAAGGTATGAATGTATGGCTACGACAATTCTGCCAATATAAATAGTGACATAATTGTTCTTTCTACACTACGAAGTAGTGAATAATAAAAAATATCCACAGAATTTGCCTACTATTGGAATTGAACCAATGACTCTCGCCGTATGAAAGCGATACTCTAACCGCTGAGTTAAGTAGGCATCAATATGTATTTTACCTTTCGACAATCTCTTGGTCAAGAGATATGTTTTTATGTATTGACAACAATATTATCCTCGATGTATAATATGTCTTGGGGCTATAGCTCAGCGGTAGAGCACCTCGTTTACACCGAGAATGTCTACGGTTCAAATCCGTATAGCCCCAAGTGATATTTATTCGAGGTTTTCAATACTACTTTCCTAAACTTATTATAAAAAATAAAAAATACAACCGTTATGATAAGATTTTATCTAATTAGATAGTTATCTACGCTAGATTGGTTGTATAATAAATTTGTAAATCTTATTAACTTCAAACAAAATATACCGTATACGGTATATTTCTCATAATGTATTTCTTTCTATTTTCTTCAGAAAGAAAAAAATAAATAAAATAAGATTTTTTTAGAACAAAATCTACTCTTTATACTTTCAAATTTTACTATGTCTACAATACCAAAATATGAATACTTTTGGGTTTTCTTGCTAATAGCTAGCTTAATTCCTGTTTTGGCGATTACGGTATCTAGTCTGATAGCACCTTCTACTAGTAAAACTCCGGAAAAACGTACTACATATGAATCAGGTATAGAACCAATGGGTGAATCTTGGATACAATTTCAGATTCGCTATTATATGTTTGCTTTAGTTTTTGTCGTTTTTGATGTTGAAACAGTCTTTTTGTATCCATGGGCTATGAGTTTTGATGATTTAGGAGTTTTAGCTTTTGTGGAAGTTTTAGTTTTTGTTGTAATTCTAATCGTTGGGTTAATTTATGCATGGCGTAAAGGAGCACTAGAATGGTCATAAATTCCAAAAATATTAATTCTTTTAACTCTGCTAAGGATTCGACAGACAATTTCGTTACGAATCCCATGGCTTTCTCACCTAACGGAGAAGATATATCTGACTCTGTGATTCTAACGACTTTTCATGATTTTTCTAATTGGATTAGATTATCCAGTTTGTGGCCTTTGCTTTATGGAACAAGTTGTTGTTTTATTGAATTTGCTTCTTTACTTGGTTCACGTTTTGATTTTGATAGGTATGGTTTAGTTCCTAGATCCAGTCCGCGCCAATCAGATTTAATCATTACAGCAGGTACTGTTACAATGAAAATGGCACCTTCTTTAGTACGTTTGTATGAACAAATGCCTGAACCTAAATATGTCATTGCTATGGGAGCTTGTACTATTACGGGTGGAATGTTTAGTACCGATTCTTATAGTACTGTAAGAGGCGTAGATAAATTAATTCCAGTAGATGTCTATTTGCCTGGTTGTCCACCAAAACCAGAAGCGATTTTTGATGCTGTAACTAAGTTGCGTAAAAAAGTGGGACAGGAAACTGCACATGAGAAAGCTACTTTTAAACAAAGTCAACGCTGTTTTAGTTTATTGCATAAATTAGAACCAGTTCCTGCAATCCATACTGGTAATTACGATCAAAAACCCTTCGTCGTACTCCTGGTAATGAAATTGATACTTCTTTAGAACTTCCTTTAGAACGTATCTTAGAAAGTTCTTTTGAAACTTCTTCTAGTCAATTGGTAGATAGGTAAGAAAAAACAATATCAAGAAAATGAAACAATTTATATTTTTGAAATAACAGGAAAGGTATATGGCGGATTCTTATTTAAAGAATGCTTCTCAAATGCAAGGTCGATTATCTGCTTGGCTAGCTACTCATGGACTCGCTCATAGACCTCTTGGGTTTGATTATCAGGGAGTCGAAATGGTAGAAGTTAGACCTGAGGATTGGCCTTCGGTTGCAGTTGCATTATATGTGTTATGGCTTTAATTATTTACGTTTACAATGTGCTTATGATGTTGCTCCAGGAGGCCCATTGGCAAGTGTTTATTATTTAACTAAAGTGCAAGATTGTGCAGATCAGCCGGAAGAAGTTTGTATTAAATTATTTGTTTCTAGAGAAAATCCTAGGGTTCCATCTGCATTTTGGATTTGGAAAAGTGCTGATTTCCAAGAAAGAGAAATCTTACGATATGTTAGGAATTGTATATGACAGTCATCCTCATTTAAAAAGAATATTGATGCCAGATAGTTGGCTAGGTTGGCCACTTCGGAAAGATTATATTACTCCTGATTTTTATGAGTTGCAAGATGCATATTTAAAAAAACAGTTTTTTTTAATATTATGATCATATAATTTTATATAAATAATATTATATATCATAATTTACCAAAAATTTTTACCTTTATCAGATAAAAATTTTTGGTAAATTATGATATTATTCATTTCGAATATTATATATACATACTTATAAGAAGAATATTTAGTTATTATATGAATAATGAAAAATCATATGCCAGGAACCAGGATTGAACTGGTGACACGAGGATTTTCAGTCCACTGCTCTACCGACTGAGCTATCCTGGCTATAACGAATTATACACCACATCTCCTGATGCTGTCAAGTTATACTCAAAGATTTGATTGTATAAGATGTGTACAAACTATTTACAAAAATTAAATTGCATAGAGAAAATTATTTAGAAAATCATCAAAAAATCGAATGACTCTCATTGCAAAAACATAGTTCTCTGATTTTTTTGACAACTTCAAGAGAAC